GGATGTTTCTGAAATGTACAGTCTGTACATATGTCCTGAAAATGTTTTAATTCCTTCGGCATGGTTGCCATGTTGGTTAAATTTGTATGAGGCAATAAACTGCCACTAATTATACTTCCCTTTTGTAGACGTGGAATTATGGTTTGTATCCTGAAGTTAGCATGGCTGTGCTTTACATAATAGTATGGCTTTTAGGGATGGATCTGGAATGTGTACTATAGCTGAGATATTTATGTGCATACAATGTACATTGAGGGCTGCAGATTTAGAACTAACGTTTATGTCCACTGTACCTGCTGTTTTCTTCAAAGCTTTGTATTATGTTGATCACCAGTGGTGTTAAATTGAGTGGACTTTCAAAGAGATAGTGGTTTTGATGCAAGGATTTAGGTGATGTTGGGGCTTGTTTAGTAATTCTGTAGAAAGGCTACCTCAAGTGGACACTGTAAAGGTTGACAGATGAGTACCGTAGCCATCTATGCATTTTATTTGTTTGGAAAAAAAAATCCATGTAAGCTTCCCTTTTTTTAACACAATTTATCCATTTGTGGTCTTTTAATGTTTTTTTCAGCAGCAGCTGCACTCTGTCGTTTATGATAATCCTGGGCTAATAAAGGCATTTAAGATGGGAAGAGGGAGGTAGGAAGAAGAAAAATATTACAAAGGATTTCAGTTTCAAGCTTCCAAAGCATTTTTATAAGTGTAAACATTTAAAATATGAACTAAATGACAGTGTCCTTTTTTAAGTCATATTTTCTACAAATAGTAAGGATTGCAGTTCATGCTGAACATTTCATCTGGCAAGATTTTTTTTTTAAACAGGTTGTTAGAAGCAAAAACCAAAATGGATTATAGAAGAAAATCATATCATTACAGTCCAAGTCTATTTGATAGATTATTCTGATGACTTGTATACTAAGTGAGGAGAACCATCTGGAATAAACTCTCAATTAATTCCTTTGTATTGAGTGTCAGCTTTTCCCTGCATGTTCACTGCCAGTTGAAGAGCGTTTCGGTTCCTCCACATTTCTTTTTCAGATCAACTGACACTTTGTATGAATAAGGGATTTTATGTAATTTAAAAAAAAACCTTATAAGGAACAAACAAAGAAAATGCAGCAGCCCCAAAACAGGAAGAACATGAAGTGTGACTCATTCATGATCATGAAGTGACCTGAACGAAGAAGGTAGAAATAAATTGATATTTGTGCCTTTTTTGGTTCTGTGTGATGCAGGTCATGTAGGTTTGGTTTTGTTTTTTTTTTTTTAACATCCAGGAGAAAACAAAGTGTTTCAGCTTCTAACAGTACCCTTCATTCCATAGTATTCCAAGAAGCAAACTTCATTTTTTTTCTTCCTCCTTGCTCTTACTTTTTTCTGAACTAACAGTTCAGAAAGAGTTCCTTTGTCATCGTGACCCTTAGTAATCAAGATATTTTAATACTGAGGTTGTTGAGGTATTGTCTACTTATATTTGTGTTACCTGATTTTAAATCTGAGCTTGAAACAAAACTTCAGCTTCAAGTCATTCCCTTGCAATATAGAACTAAAATACTGAGCTCTCATTTAATATGGGAGAAAAACTGTACTGGCCATTTAAGAAATACCCTGTCTTGAGCTGTCTCTGCAGTCTGCCAAGTCAAAACAGTGAGGACAACTTTAATTTATCTTGTTTGTGTCTAGAGGGCTTCTTTTGGCCTTGTTTTTAACCTTCAGTTTCTGAAGCAAGTACATTCTTGGACAGAGAGGCTGCAAGGCCAGTGTTCTGTCAGGGAAAATGGATTACTGATTTCCAATTGTTCCTTCAGGGCTCCCCCTCCTCTGCCATTGTTGGGAAATAAAGTGAGAGAATGGTTTATTTGCAGGAAAATTTAAAGGTATTTGAGAAACACAGTCTTTGACCTGGAAGTGGAGAAGGGCTGTCTTACTACAACAGAGATGGTGAACATTTTGATACAGCTTGTGGAAAGACCAGCCCGTGCCAGCACCTCTTACAAGTGCAGTGATTTGAGGACTGTGCTTTTATTTTCCAATAAATAGTACTTTTTGACTTTTGGAGTTAATATGATGAATATTACTTACTTGAGTTAGCAGTGTAATGGATGGCACTATATTAGTTACCAAGACCCATGAAAATTACTTGAACCAAGACACCTGTCTTAAGTTATCTTTGGGATTTAGTATCCTGCAGCTCTTGGGTTTGAACCCAGGGACTCTCGTTCCTTTTTGTCTTTCTGATAGAATTTTATTTCACATGACCTTCCTTGAAACCAAAAGGAACCGTGGGTGTGAAAGCAGCTCTGGGGAGCAGTGGTGAGTTCAGTGGAGGTGCTGGTGCTGCCCACTGTGCTGCAGTTGCTGCAGTGCAGCTGCACTGGGCATTCAGCTCAGGGGCATCCAGAGAAACTTCCTGCTGGTTTCAGTTGGAGGTGTGGGAGTTGCCCAGGAGCTGCTCTCTGACAGTCTGTGCACACTTCAGTTCTCAGGGTAAAAGCACAGTGACCAAAGCACTGAACCCAAAGTTCCCACAGTGTGCCACGTGTCCATAGTTACCTAGCTGGGATAGTTATCCCTTGGGAAGCCCCATCTGTCTTTGGAATTTCCCATGGCTGCAACGGTAAGTACTGCACTAGTAATATTTTTAGTGTCTTACAGTATGCAAATTCTGCTCTTGAGGGGAACCTGAAGGAATGAGAGAACTGTCTGGCTTTGGTAGATGTTTGAGCCCTTGGCACTGCTGTGAAGCCCATGTACCTTGTTGGTTCTCAAGTCTCTTCTTTCAAGAGGTTTGTGGGGTTGGGTTGCTTGGGTTTTTTTGTTATTTTGGTGGGGAGATTTATTGGTGGTTGGTTTTTTATTTCATAAAGACCAGAGCATCATACTAGTAAACAGTGTAGAAACTACATTTATGAAAACACTACATGTAATTGTCCATTAAGTCAGCTTGACCCATAAAAAAATGTTTACCTCAGTCCGGAGAGAACCTGCAAACTAATCCTCACCAAAAATTTTTAATCATCTGAGTGATTGCCAGTGTCATTTCACATATCAGCAGTGTTAATTACTATTAGGCAATGCCTGATGCCTGAGGAACAATGCCTGGAAGATACACACAGCCACAGCAGAAGGTGTGGATCTGGCTCAGTTTGGTTCTGTTGCTTTTCTTCCCTCTTTTGGTTAATTGTGTCCATCTAACCATTTTTTTCGAGCTGAATCAATGTGTGTTTTTCTTAAAAATCATTCCTCTTCAGTTTTCCCCAACAGATTTGCAAATAATACATTCTGTTACAATTTGGCTTCTTGTCAATTAAAGTGAGGGGAGCTGATGAAAAGAGTACTACAGCATTGTCCTGTTGGTGTTGTGCAATTTTGAGATGTTAAGGTCTGTATGCCAGGAAGAACTGAGAAAACATACACTAGTTTATATACAGCAGAAAATAAACAACAGTTTAAAATACATCAGAGTTACTGTCAGAGCATGGAATTACCAGAATTGTTTATATGAGAAGAAGAAATTTGGGGATTGAATTTGTTTCTGAAAGAAACTGATTGCTTTAGACCTCTGAAAATCCAGTTAATAGCCACCTGGTTAAACACTTAGGCCTCGGTGGCAGTTTTTCACAGAGGTGTCTCCAAAGACGAAATATTTAAATAAAACTCTCAAGGAAGAAAGCCTTTAACTTTTTTTTATTATTATTAAATGAGAAAAAGCCCTAACTTTTTATTAACTAATGCAGGGCAATTTCAAATAATGTCAAAGTCTTGTTTGATCATGACTAAATGCAGATGATGTTTTAAGAAGCAACATGTAATTCCTGGGCCGTCTACAATCCAACGTACTGAAGGGTGAGATTCCCATGAGGTTATTTTGTGCAAGTGATCAGAAGCAGAGACTGAGATACCTTACACAGCTGTGTAACAATGCCTGTTGTCTTTGGTTACCTTTACACACGTGAGTTTCTGAAGACTCTTTGTAATATTACATGTGTATGTAGAACCATTGACCTTCATCTTTGCTTTCTGTGTTGGCTGAGAAAATCACCAGTGAGGAGTATGAGAAAAGGTCCTGCCTTTTCTGAAAAATGGGAAATGAAAATTTTAGTAATAACTTCATTGGTTACAGTGCAAAGCAATTTAGTTGATATGAAGAGGACATTCTGTTTACCCCTCATGAGTCACCTCTCAAATCTGTAAAGGAAAAAACTTTTTTTAAAATTGGAAGTAAAATGAAATAGCCTTGGAATACTCGATTTAGCCTCAAGCTACTTTTGAGTGACTGCACCTGAACTGCTGCTGTTCTGTTTTGTTTTCTTTTTTTGAAGAAGTTTTAATTTCATTCTCCTGATCTTTATTTCAGCCTTATTTCATTGGTTCTGGAACACACCTACTGATTAATAATGGTTCTTGGAAGAACTTTTAGAAGTGATTGATTACACAGAAAACTATAGTTCAAGATTACAGACATCGCCATCAGTGTTCAGCTGCATTTTAAAAATTATTTTGTCAGCTGGGGCTCAAATTTGATGTCCTGGATTAGATCTCAGATATGACTAGCTGTTCAGCTTCCCTCCTCCCAGTCCTCAGCAGCTGTGAATGTTGCCATTAAGCACAGATGTTGTCTCTCCAGCTTCAAGGAAAGAAAGAGTGAGAGGAGCATTTAGGGAGAATGGTGTTATCAACAACCTTAACATCTAGAATAGCTGTAGATGAACAGCAGCAAAAGAGATGATCAGCCTTGGGGGGGAAAGTCAGTAGTGATTTCTTGCCATTCCTTTGAGAGAGGGGCAGTAGATAGTTCAGAACACTGGTAATTGTGTTGGAGAGTAAGCAATTTTAGCTGGAGTAAGCAATTTTAGAAAGAAAGTAAATGGGTGCTGAAGAATATCTGGATCACTTTGTATTTTGCAGGCTTTTATAGGGAACTATAGAATAGTATTAGAAAAGGCTTAATGAAGTGAAAGAGGGTTATTATAAATGGAGGACAAATCAGCATTGATAGTAGGAGTAGACAACATGAGCTTTTCGAGGTAAATATGGATTATCTCCAATCCCAAAGACTGAATCAACAAGAAAAGTTTGATCATAATATCAATTGCGATTCTTGTAACTTACCTCCTTACCCGAATCAGACTTTTCATTTAGATGTGTTCTGCATTGCTCTTCCCTCTATAAATCACTATAAAAGAATTTGGAATTTCAATTTCAGGTATGAAAAAGCAACTGTCTTGAGAAATTTTTCAGCGGCTGCTTTTAAGTTGTTTCTAGCAGTTTACATAGGCAAATAAAGCACAAGAGTATCCTGTTGAAAACCCCAGAAGAAATAAGATAGAATAAGTTGAGGTAAGCCACAAATTTTTTTAAGCTTTTTAAAAATAAAAATCAGAAGTGCAGCCTCGTTTTATTTGTAATGGGATATGGTGAGGCTATAAAAGATAAGCCTGCCTTTTATTTTGTGCTGTCTGATAAACAGTAAGTGTTGTGACTATGCATGATGGTATACAGGCCACAATATAGATAAGATTATTCTTTTTTTAATTATACATTATAAGATGGGGGGTGAGACAAACCTGCATAACACTAAGAAGCCTTGATAATCAAATTTATGTTATGTGCATCTTATTTGAAGTTACATGATGCGAACGTATTTTACAAACTTCATGAATTTGTAGTGAATGTACAAAGTGCTCTTACCCATTCCAACAGAGCTTCCAGAACAGGTTACTGAAATGACATGAAACAGTGGTGTAAATGTGAGGTGTCAGATCGTGAGCTGGGAAACATTATTAGTCTGTAGTATGTAGTCCCTCTATACAACTGTGCAATCCCATCAGATAGCAGTACTTTTAAAATGGATTAAATCCATGCCCTAGGAAAGGAATTCCAAGGTACTTACTACCCCTTTAAACAATTTTTACTTCAAAATATGCTTAGAAGTTCACAGAAGTAATTCTTGCTTTATTTAAAAAACATCCATAAACTAAATTCAAAAACAAAACAAAAAATGCTCATTTATTTGTTTCTATATGTGAACCACTCCTAACCTCCCAGTTAAAAATTAACGTCTCTGTATTCACCAGGACACAGGTGATCTGGTTAAGAGGAACTATGTAGATAAGTATGGCCAGTCCCAAAATGCTCCTGTGAAGTTCCCATCACAGGTACTGCAAGACAGCACCCACTAAGTTTACTCTGTAGTCAACACTATAACATGCCACCTTCACCTGCATTACTCTGGATTACATTTTAACCATCTAGCATGCATGGACAAAAACAGATCATTCAAAGAAATTGAAAGTTTACCTGAATATATTTTTTTAGGACAAAATGTGAGCTTTGGCCCCTTATCAGTAAGTGGAGCCACCACCACTGTGTAGACATCCCCACAGGGTATCTCAGTGATGTCACAGTGACTTCCTCCTGTGCTGGGGGTACAGGTGAAGTTGCCTTTTGAGCCACGTAAATCAGTGCTGTAGTTTATTGTTTCATCAGAGGCTCTCCAGAACACCCTGATGCCATTATTGCTCAGTCTGTAGAGCTTCACCCCAAAAGGGCAGCAAGCACCTAATAAAGTGAGAAACATTAGTAAGCTAATTTTGTGAACTCCTAGAGTACATTTTAAACCAGATTACTATTGATTATCAGCATTTCAATGAGAAAATATTATTTCACAGAAAGCCAAAACAATTCTTCAACTGAAGTAGGGAAGAAAATGTTTTATCAGACTCATATTATGGAACTGGAATTCAGCCATTTTACATGTTGGAATATTGTTGCTCTTGCCTGGCACCAGGCCTACCTTAAAGTGCCCAGAATCCTTTTGAGGTCCTTAAAATTTAATTATGTCATAGCATAATTTAAATTAAAAAATTGATTCTGGAGCAACGTTATTAAAACTTCTTTATATGGCCACCTGATGGCTGTCATAAGAACAGGTTTTAAAGTATATGAAAATAATCCAAAGTACATTTATTTAGAAGGGGGAACTGCAAGTGTACCAAGTAAGTATTGAATTTCAGCTGTGCTATTTGTATGAGAGCAACAATATACAAACTACATTGTATATTGAGTCCTTTTGTTCCCAACTGCATTTACAATTCACGTACTGGAAGAATATCCCTGATAGGTGCAACTGGCTGTCAGCCCCGTTTCACTAATTGCTTTCAGAGACACTGTATAGTTGGTGCCACATGTGATGCATCCCAGCAGACAGTAGTTCTGAAGAGTGCGACACTTTGCCTGTCCTTTCGGGGACTCCAGTGTTGTTACGTACGTCTGTGCACCCTTCCCAGCAGACCAGCTGACATTTGTTACAGACTGTGTCACTTGAGTTAGTATCAGGTCATTGGGGCAACAAGGATCTTAAAGAAAAGAAAAAAAAACGGGAAGTCAGTTCTGGTTTGGAAGTTATTTTGTTGGGTTGCAGCCAGAATTGTACATGATCAAGAGCAGAGGAATGAAGAAGTGCATACTTCTCGGGCAAACACTAGCATGCTGAAAAATACTTGACATTGCTGGCAAGCTTCTCATAAACAGAATGTCAATACAAGATCAATTTGTCTGTAACAGTGGGTTATAATCCTGGAATTACTATAACATGATTGTTCACCAAGATTCTAAAAATTACTAAAATTTTTCATCAGAATATCAGAGAACATGTGATAATTAAGCAGGGTCTACCTCTACCCCTCAAGTCATACAGCTCAGTCCAGCTCTGTCTCTGTTTAAAGTCTGCAAGATGACTGCAGCCAAACTGCCTGTTAAAAATAGACCCTGGTGTACGTTAATTGCTGTACTGGCCTGGGGATTGTCTGGGTAAGTGGCAGAGGACAAAACTCTGTTAGAAAATTAATAGCAGGAGCGGTGGGTAGGATGTGCTTTAATCTGTTCTTTACACTGCTTATTTGTTGACATGGACATTAACTCATTGCTTCTCCTGGTAATATTAAATATCAAAATGCTGACAAAGAAGTTATGCATTACAATAGTGGCTTATGTTACTGCATTTTAGTTAGCTGGGCCACAAAATAATTGGTTGCACTAAGGCTTCTCAGTATGTGGCAACTGCCAAGTGATCCTTCCTTCTCACACACACAGAGATACAGACAGGTTCACACAAAGGGCATCCAGCAATAGATACAATATGCACATACTGTAATTAAAAAAAAAAAACAAAACAACCCAAACAAAAACCAAAAAAGCCAAAGACATATAAAGAGTCATAGAACTATTTTAATATTATGCTGCTAACATACAATTCCCACGTACCCGTCTCTAAAGGGACACTGTAGCTTGGTAAGCTCTGTCCTGCTGGTGATTTTGCTATAGCACTAACAGTGAAAGCAGATCCACAGGGAAGATCAGTTAAGGTACAGGAGCTTCCAGTGCTTGTGCAATGCCAAAGTCCAGCCTCTCCTCTGGCAGTGACAACATATGTAGCGTCTTCATTGTGAGATTCCCACTGTACACTGATTGCAGAAAGACCCTCCTTTGAGATATTTTTAATTTCAGGACTGCAGGGAGCTGAAATATTTCACAATAACAGTATTTAAACAGATTGTTTACACATACTATGTAAGTTACACATGAAAATTAAATTCCAGTTAGAACTAACAAACTACTTTGGAAAAGTATATGATCCTTATATGCTTAACTCCTGGTGAGAATTTATCCTTGTGACAGAACTGACAACATAAGGAGTTTGTGTACAAAACCAGAGGTAAACTGTAAATCTAATTTTCAAAATATTGGAGCTGTCAGAAGCTTTCAATCCAAACCTGTTTTTAGGTCTCTGCTTACAATATATTTTTTAAGACTTCCCGTTGTGGACCGTTGGGTTTTTTTTTTTTAATTTTTATCAGTTACAGTGAGTTAGCATTCCAGTAATGCGTTTCATCCATGAATCACTGCGGTGCCTAATAATTATTTGTCCTGCTAAAGGAAAACAGGAGCGATGCCGGTACCTGTAGCCAGGTGCTGGGGCGCACAGGAGGTGTTGGTGCCGCCGGCCTCGCTGAGGGAGCGCACGGTGATGCGGTAGCGGGTGTCGCACTGCAGAGCAGACAGGGTGCAGGCCGGGGCCGTGTCGTTGCAGAGCACCGCGGTGCTCCGGGAGGCAGCTCTGGTCTCGTACAGGTCGGCGCCTCGCACGGCAGCCCAGGTGACCCGCACGGTGTCGCTGGACACGAACGCGGCCCTGAAGTCGCTGGGGCAACAAGGAGCTGGGAACAGACGAGGCAGAGAGGGAAACTCGAATGGGAATGGGAAACTGGCACGAATAAGAGCCTTGTTTCGTTTATCTATGTGCTTCATGTCTTGAATCTCCAAAGGTGACCGATATTGTGCAGTCTTGTGAACCCCAGACTTATTCCTTGAATTAATTCAGTGCCCCTCCTTCCAAATCAACACAGGACATCCTAGTGTTTAGATCAGACACAGGAATTACATATATCTTTGGCTTAAACTTTAAAGCATCTAGAAGTTAAATAATTCAAACAATGTTCTTCTCAATTGCCCCTTGAACTGGTTAATTTTTTTCATTTTCCAAGTATGAAAACTCTCTATGAGGAAGTTTAAGTCTTTGACACACCATTCCTGAGGTAAAAGAAAAAACACACAAAACTAAACAGGACTAGAGTTCAAATGTTACACCAGGGCTGTGAGTTATTCATACGTCCTTGCCTGATTGATGGTTGTGAATTGTTAAACTATTTTCAAGTTTGTATGCATGTTGCACTTGACTACACAAGTTAAATTTAATTGCAATGGGAAGTGTTTCTTTTTCTCTGCCAACCTCTGTGTGTTTTGCCCAAAACCTGAATAAAAGTAGAATTTTAAGTCAGTATCTTCCCATAAAAATGTCCATAAACACAGTTAGAGGATCCAAATGAATTTGCAAGACTACGTGGCAACTTACCAGTAGTGTAATTGAATACATCACCTAAAGGGCTCTGCCCTGCCTTGTTATATGCAAAGACACTAATGAAATAAGTGAAGCCACAGTCCGACTGGAAATGACATTGAGTATGTGATGTGTTGCAGTGCACTTCCAAGCCATCATCACTCTTCACAAAAACCACATAATAATGACCAAAACTGACGCTAGACCATGACACCAGCAAGTGACCAGGTTCATCCTCTTCAATTGATATGTTACCTGGTGCACAAGGAACTGGGGAAAAAAAAAAAAGAAAAAAAAAAGAAAATAAGAATTTTAATGACAATATTTTTATTGAAGTTACACTTTTATGTAGTAAAGAAAAATCAGGGATATACAGAATTATTCTACTCAGTTTCTGTCTTGTTCAAGCAAGCAGCAATATTATCTGCATTTACAGAGGGTGCTACTTACATTTGGATGACAAGTGGGTATGGTTTTTACAGGACAAAATAGATACTATCTTCATGTTTTACAGAAACAAATTCTGCTTAAGGAGCCCCAGTTGAACAGTGAAAAAAACAGTGACACCGGGCACTATTTCAAAAGGAACTGGCACAGTGTGTGCTCAGAAATGGTAGGTTTGGATGGTAATTGTAATACTAGCTTGAATAACAAGTGGCATCCAAAAGCTTTTATGTGTGAAAACCTTTTATATGTTTGTATGAAACTCACTGGCTGTGTCTGAGTAGAACTGTCCTTTGCTTAGTTCCCTTTCTGGTGGCATCATGTCACATTAAATTGCAAACTCTATGGCTTTTGTTTAAATAGCATTTACTTTCTAGCTCAAAGTGTAGCGTGCTGCTGTGAGGATGAATGTACATGGATGTACACAGCTGAAGCAGTGTTGGCTGAGATCACAGCCCACAGCTTAACACTTGTCTACTGCATAAGGCTCTCTCGTCCCATTAGATCCACCTCAGAGCTGCTCACAGGATTGATCTCTAACTCCTACCAGGTGAAAAGTCAAAATGAGTCAGGTTACATCAAATAACTAAGTAAATAGCATTGTGTCTTTAAAGTAGCATATAATAAAAAGAAACGTTTTAGATTTTGTTTACATGGGCAGTTCATCTCACAGGTCAGGAAGCCTCTGACATGGCACTGGTGCCGCAGCTGAAACAAGCGAGCTTCTGTACTGATGATGGTTGATGGTTTCTTAATTTAGTCTGGTGGTGCTACTTTGGCTGAATGTGGTTTTGTTGACCTCCTTTCTAACTAAAAACTAGAGTCGGCCTAGAACAGTTCTCAGCCCAGAGGCAATCCTTAATGCCATTTCCTCACAGATCTGTTATTCCTTACATTTGTTTTTACACTCAGAAAATTGACTTTACAATATGTACTTCTAGTAAGAGGAAAATGCAGGCTTACTGTTTCAGCCAACAATATATACACCATTGCAAGTTTCTCTTACAGAAGTATGAAGGAAGTTTAGGCTCTTATCCCTGAAATAGAAAAGAATATGGTACCATTCATGCACAAAGGTCAAAAGCAGAAATAGCTACTTGAGAATCACTTGTGAATTGCAATGGACTAATTTGCATGTGAAATTAAAGAAATACATGTTCAAATGCCATAAGCTATATAAGGATCAGTGACACATACTGGTTTTTAAGCTTACTGCATCAGTAGGTTTACTGGATCCAGCATCATTGTATGCTGTGACAGAAACATGATATTCAGAGCTGCACTGGAGGGATGGCACCGTGCAGAAGGAGGAGGAGGTGTTGCACTTCAGTTTCAAGAGTCCATCGGAGGCTGTGACACTGTAAGTCAGAGCTCCTTCTGTTGGCATCCAAGAAACTCTTAAAGCACCACTATTAAAAGCCACTTTAACATCCACCGGTGCGTTAGGACCTATAGTATATCAGTTTGGAACACATAAATACAACTTAGATTATGGTCCACAGACATGATCTTTTTCATCATTTGCAAATTAAATACATGTTTTTGTGGTGCAGACCTTACCCTCATCATGTTAAGGTGATATTTTTTAAAAGAAATAGTCCTAGTTGTACACTGTCACAAAGCTTTCTGCTGAAACTCCCTGCCTTATTTGAAAATTTGCTTCTCACAGGTAGAAAAATCCTCAGATCAGTCTAGACTTGTATAATCCTTACCCACACCTGTCCTGGGTACAACTTCAGTGACAGATAATGGTATCTTTGCCTCAGTAATATTTATTAAACATAGTCATGTCATCTGAGCTTTCATAAACTTTGAGATGGGGCAAAAATGATATGATCTGAAAATCTTCCCAGTGTACCTTTGAAAAACATAACACAATCATACATACACATAAATACTTCCTGCTAAATTGTTGCTGGTTTGGTTTGTGTTTGGTTTTTTTTTTTTTTAATGCTGACTTGATTTCAGAAAAGAAAATTTCTTACTTGTTCTTTGGTTATATGTGAAATCATCTCCAGGCATCCCATTGGCATTCCAGGCATAAGCCTTGATAGTATAGAGAGTTCCTGGATCTAGATTTGTAAATATCAAGGAGGTATTGGTGGTGTTCTCCCTCAGCATTCTGCCCAAACCATCCGACCTCATGAGGGACACGGAGAATCCAGCTGCCATATACACAGCGTGCCAGCTCAGGGCTATGGAGTCACAGCTCGGAGAACTCACAGACAGAATCGGAGCGGCCAGGACTGAAGAGAAAGAACAAAATCAAGCTTTCGGTTTTTCAGGAGTACAGTTTGAAAGGGCCAAATTTGAAATGAATACAGCAACAACAATCACCAACTCTGAGAGACGAATTCCATGACAACAAAACCAGAAAAATAAATTAATACAAGCTCGATAGAATAAATATGGAAAGGGATTTGTGATGCATCGATTATTATATTACAGGTTTTCTGAAATGAATGTAACTCATACAGAGAGTATGAAAGGTTGTGAGTGTTGAAGAATGAAAATCACCAAGAAGATACTGCATTTCCTGTCCTCTAAGTTTTACATTGTCTTATTATTTTATACTTTTGTTTGTTTCTTCATTTCTTCTATTCCTCCACGTTATGTCTTTTGTTAAAGAAAAATACAAATTAAAGTATTCATATACATATTCATATATGAATATACAAAGTAAATTCATACAAATTCTGGTGAAAGTCTCAACTGAATATTTAACTTTAATACTGTCATAAAGTAAACCATTAATTCAGACTCTTGTCCTGGTCATTAAGTCAAATGACCGAATTGTAGTTATCTAAAACTGAAAGGAGAATGTGATCAGTACAATTTAAAATGCAAGACTATAATAATTCAGGACTGGTACATGCATGAATGCTTTATAATAACATTACAGAATTTGAAATAAGAATTTGAAAGTCCACCTGTTTTTGCTTTTCTGAAAGGTGAAGGCTGGCTTTTTCCTCCCGAATTTATAGATCTGATAGTGATTCTGTACAAGGTGGCAGGTTTCAGCCCCGTCACTGTGCCTGGAGAATTTTTAACCACAGTTTCAATGAAGGAATCTCCATCTTGTGCAGTCAGCATGTAACCAGTAGCCCCAGGTACCGCTCTCCATTCCACTGTGATACTGTTGCTAAGTTTTGAATAAGCTCGGTCAATAACAGGAATGTCTGGAGCTAAAATGGAAATAGTGATAGACATGCTTAAGTTGGGGAACTGAGCCCTGTGAAATGCTGAGTGCTCTGAACATTCCACACAGACAAAATGAAGGACATCTAACTGCCTGCTCAGAGCAGATATACTTGGACTTGTTATGCTCAGATATACACTCACTAGAAAAAAGATAAAATGAAGGTGTATCCCATACAAAATTAAGACTATTTAACTGAGCGTTATGTCTGCTCTCTTAGTTCCAAGCACCTTATCAGTTACAGTCAGACACCCCATTTGTAAAAATGGTAACAGATATTCTGTCTGACCGTGCCTGTGGAACATCTGCAGATGGGTCCTTCACAATCTTTGAGTAAGATATTGCACTATACTTTTTTTTTTCCTTTTAAAATACTCTGTCTTTAGTAACCATGCAAAAAAAAAATGTTGTGAAAAGAAATCCCTATGCAAGTCTAAGGGAGTTTTTTTACCTAACAGTCAAGTAGAGAATATATAGCATATGATGTATATCAAATAAATTACACAACATTAATCATTAATATCTCTTCTTCCAAAACTAAGCTAGCAATAGACATTTTGTTTGCACTTAGCAGGATAAATACTTCTACTTGTTTACACTTATCATGATAAAATACTTCTATTTTTTATTTTCAAATTTTATTGTAATAATTAATTTTATAAGAAACACTCTACTTGAAAAGTAATGGTTATTTCCAAAAATTATCAGCTAAATTATTTTAAAACCAGAATTTCAACAGAATATTTTTTCAATTACATTTCAGTAATGAAATAGAAAAGGACTTCTATTTATGTAGATTCTTCTTCAATAGTCATCAGTTACTTACATGCTACAAGTCCTTTTGTGAGTGAAACAAAGTTACTGTTTAGCAGTTCTGAAAAATGTATAAATAGCTTCATATCTGCTTTATTTTCATATCTAATTATTTTCATATCTAATGAAAGGGGAGGTGATTTTAAAAGCTGCAGCCTGAGCAAGCTGTGCATGCCAGGTCAGGAAAACATGAAAAAGACGAGAGGAGAAAAGGAGCTAATCATGCTAATACTGAACTCAGTAGGAGAACGAGCAAAAGGCTTCAACAGGAACGGCAGATTTTCCCTACCAGTACAATGAAACATCATGGATGAAATCCCAGTCACACAGAGGGCAATGGAAATGATATTTTCCAGTTTTTCTTACGAACCTGTTGATTGCATAATCTGTGCTTCTGCAAGAATAATTCCATTCTTGTCAATGGCTTCTGCTTGTACAGCATAAACAGTACTGGGAATTAATGAAGTTAGAGTTGCTTTAAGTGTAACATCACTAAAATGAGCCAGTAATGAATGGCCTACAGTATTCACAGCTGTAGCTGTGACCCTGTAAGAAGAGGCTCCTGAAAACTTGGGCCATCTGAGAGAAATGCTTCGTGATGTCACATCATATACAGACACAGAGAAACCTAAAACCCAAAAACAAAAGCATTACCAAAAAACATTTCAGTCATTCCTGACTTAAGTCTTGACAAGAATATTGTTCAGTGCCTTGTCGAGCATCTATGTGACCTAATTTTCAGACAATAGGCATTCTGCTGAATTTGGAGTGCTATTTCCCTTGTTCACTTCTGTAATCCATTAATTACATTAATAACTGTTGCTCACTCTCATAACATCACGCTGGGATGATGGCTATTTTTCTTAAACCCCCAATACACTGTAGTCTAATTGTTTTAAAAAATGCCATGTGTAATCCATATGTGAATATACAAGCAATGTCAACCCTATTCCATAAATAAATAGGATCAAACACTTGTTTTGCTAATCACAAAATATGTTACAGTATGTGTCCAGATACTGCAACATGCATTTAAGGCTCATGAGAATGCAGGATATGCAGGAATGTACTATCACCAGAGACTGCATGAATGCTGAAAGCATTTCTTGTAATCTTGTGATCTCTTCTTTCAAACTAGTCAATATTCACATTTGAAGGAAAGAGGAGCTGGAGGACAAAATACAAGACTGAAGAAAGTATAAAATGCCAAACACTGGAAATATTTGTGCATGGAAGAGCGTACTTCTCCTGGTATGGTTTTTTGTTTGTTGTGGGGGGGTTATGGAAGGAGTGTGGTGGGGTTTTCCTTTGGTGATTTTGAAATTTTTTTATTATTAAAATATATAACAATTAATTGGGTGCAAATATGGGATAGTTTGAATCCTATTTGTAGGACAATTATGTAGGTAATGGACAGTAGAATTTGTTTATCTGAGTGATCTCTCTGGTTCACACTAATGTCAAGGCATAAGTCTAAATATTTATGCAAGTGCCCAACAGAATTGGGACTCCTAAATATGAGGTTTAAAATTTATAAAGATATCAACATAATTTTTTAAAGCTGAATCAAACTTCAAAACAATTTTTGTTTATAAAGCTGCTAGAACTTACAGAATATTTTATTAAAAATCACAAGTATGTGTTTTCTTCAAACCCATTACAAACCAGGCAGGCAAAACCAAGATACCATTTTGAAGATTTACCTGTGTTAGCTGAAAAGATCTGAAAAGGAAGATGTAAAAAAATTAGAAATACAATGTGAAATATTTTATTTGGAAAATTAAAACCTAAGAATGTTAATAGCAACAACAACAACTTAAAATACTATGGTTTTTAACACATTTTACTGATATGATGTATTGGCTTAGATTCTTTAAGCATGGAAAGAGTATGCAACCAATGAGATTTGGTACTGGTGTCCAGATTGTACTGCTTCTTCATGTTCATTTTCCTCTCTGAATCTGCCTATTGATCCCGTTTTCAGTTGTTGACACACTTTGAAAGGCCTTGAATCCTAATATATCTTCTTATTTTTCAGTCACTTGTAAACAGTGCAAAAGTGTAATAGTAAATACCAACGTGGATGGGTGTGCATGATAGTCTCCATCCTAACTTTTAGTTGACATTTACAGAGTACACTATCATCGCTGCAAACAGCTTTAAAGCAAACAACTCGCACTCACCATTCCTAGGCAGCTGAGAAGCAGTCCGGCAAGGGCTAATGATTTACTTTTCGCACCACGCATCTTGTCAGAGCTTTGTTCCGGCCTTGCCGCGGGGATGAGCCGAGGCCGATCCCTGCCGGGAGCAGCGCTGTTCCCCGGCAGTGCCGGCACTGCAGGCTCGCTCCTCGGGACAGGGAGGGCTGGGCGCTCCTCCCTGCTGGAGCACAGCGGCCGCCAAACCCTGGGGCACGGGCAGACACGGCGCCCATGGGCGGTGGGGCTTTCCTCCTTCTGTTACAGGATGCAGTCCCTGTATGGCTTATACAAGATTCATAAAATAATTAAGCACAATGTAAATCTGAGGTTTGCTCTTCAGCTCATTACCTACTGCATTTTTGTCTGCATACAAGGATCTTCTTTTCTGTCGGGAATGATGCCCTCGTGGTACTCCCCTTGGCATGGAACACTGCCATACCGACTGGGAACCACCCTTCCTCAGTATCTGGCCTCGTGGAAAGAGATATTTTCCTCTCATTCCTTCGTATCTGTACCAGCTGCTGGTTCCCCTTTGACAACACGACTTTATGTCTTCAAACTGTAACTTCTGACAGACGATTGTAGGCGACAACAAACTGTATCGTTCTATGACCCGACAATGTTTTTCCTTGGCGGCTTTACACGAATGTCGGAGGGAATCCTGGGGCCGCTCTCATGAGGGAGCCCCGGTTTCCACCGTGAGGGGACCCGGGACCGCGGCAAGTTTCGCGGAGCTCCGTCGGCTCTGCGGTCTCCAGCTCCGCCCGCCGCCCCGCACACAGCCCCCGCAGCCACCGCGGGGGTCGGGTCGGGAGCGGCCCGGGTCCCGGGCTCACCTGCTGACAGGTGAGCAGCAGGAGGCTCCTTCCTCAGGGGACAAGCCCTGGTCACCAGGCGCTTCCCCAATGGGAATTACGGACCCCACGGTGGGAGAGGAAGGGGCTCGGCTCCCTTGGGGCCGGTCCCTGGCGGCAGGAGCCCGCCCCGCCCAGGAGCAGGCAGTGCCCTCCGACACCGCCCGGCCCCGCCCGCCGTCCCTGAAGAGGGAGGTGCTGCCAGCAGGGATTGGCAGCAAGATGGCGCCGGCGGTGCGGGGGCTGAAGGGCGCTGTGTGGCAGAGTGAGTGAGTGCGGGAGCGAGTGCGGGGCTGCTGCCCCCGCCCCGGCCCGGGAGCGCCCCGGCGCCTCTCGGTGGGCCCGGGCGGGCCGGGAGCCGCCGCCACTGGGGCGCCGCCCGCGCGTGTCCCGCTGTGTGGGGTCGGGGGTGCCCTGCCCGCCCGGGCTGGGTCCGGGGCCGCGGCCGGAGCCGAGGAGGGCGAGCGGGGCCGGGCGCGGGCGGCCCTGCGGGGTTGTGCGGCCGAGGCTGTGGGTGGTGGCTTCGCCCCGGCTGCTACACCTGGTGACTCCAGTCGCGGGGCTGGGAGGCGGCTGCCCCGCCTTGCGGTGCCCGCGGTGACGGCGCCTGGGTAGAGGCGCTCGTACCTTACTCCGAGACAAGGGTGGGCTCTGCAGGCTGGAGCCCGCCGGGCCGGCTCTTGGAGAGCTTAGACTGAAGCAGCTCTTCCAGGATTTCTCTGTTGCATCCTCACTGGCGGTTTAGGAGAGCGCTCCGGCCTCAGGAGGGTCTCTGTGTGTGTCACGGAGCGGCACTGCCCGCCTTGTGTTGGGCTTCACGGTTTCAGTAGAAGAAGTTGAAGGTGTTCCCAGGTAGTCTTAAAAATGAACTGCAGATTTTTATCTCCATGTTTAGGAGCAGGTTCTGCAGGTGTTTGCTACAGAGAAGGAAGTTGCAGCTGCTCCCTTCCTTGCTGGAGTAGAAGGGCTCACGGTATTTCAGGTAGTGACCTTTGGGGAAAGGCATTAGCAGCCACCTCACCCCGGGCTTAATTGTACTGAGGTTGTGACACCGTGAGCTGTTCAGCCAGCCTAGTGACTGTCACTGAAATGGGAAGGTCCTGCTCTTGTCTTGTTTCTGTTCTTCCTCTGCTTCCACCTGAAGGCTCTGACCTGGTTGCTTGTGTCACTGGAAGAGGATATAGAGAAAGAGGAAAGACTGCCTCTCTGGTGTTTAGTCCTCGATTGCTGGCACCTGTACCCTGCTTGTATGGATTAGATACCTTTGTTTACAGCTTGACCTTCAGAAATCCCTAATTTTGCTGCTTTACTTTTCCTGTCTTGCTCTGTTATGTGTGCCTTTGACGGTAAAGCCACTGTTTTGTCCTGAGATGTTTTGTAGAAGACTTGGACATCAAAAGGAAGGAATGTGATCAAAGCATTATGGTGTTATCAGGACCTGTAAGGACTTCTGAAAATGGTGTTGCCAGTGTGGACAAGACTGCGAGGAATGAACACTAGTGTGATGGTTGGGGACAGGGGAAGCACCTGTATTTAGGAGAGAGTAGTTCCTGTGGATAAAATTATGACATTAATTACATGCAGCTGCTCTCTGTGTCTACCTGTAAATAAAGTTTTTCCCCGAGGAATTCCGTTCTAGACTTGTATAATAGGTTCTAGCCTAGTCATAGATAGCTATGTTAATTTTTGTAAATGATTTGGCACTTCTGCAACTTTATTTTTTGTAACACGTGCTTACGGTCCTTTCTTCAGGAAGTTTGTTATAAACGGGTCGCTGACTTTGCCAAGGTGTGGTTTCCTTTTTTGTTTGTTTGTTTATTTTTTCACATAGGGATTTAGCAGTCTGCAGTTCCTGCAGCCTTGTGTATAGTTCTTATCTAGATCAGGAAGGAAAGGCAGAAGAAAAAATGCTTTTTCTAGACTAATTGAATATATTCAAAGAAGGCAAAATGAGAAAAGGTATCCAGGATGCGTGGTTGGTATGAAATTTGTGAGAAGAAAATGAAAACTTAGGCAGAAATGGAGCACTAATTATTCTCAGGCTTGTGATGGTTTTTGGTGTGCTCAGAATGCTTGCTGGAAACCAGTGAGATGATTTTAGGAGGCTGTAATGTTGCACAGGCAAGTACACTGTGTTAGTACACTGATAGCTTGGAATAAAGTTTCTTTTTATCATGGGAGAAAATGGATTTCAATTGGTTAATTAGAGAAATGGGGTTCAAAACAACTGAATTACATGTTTGTATGTTCTGGTTTATTTTGTAGTATTGTATTGTAGAAAAAATATATTTGAGCTTTTAGACAAGGTTCTTGGGCATTCAGCTTATTAAAAAGAACTCTGTGTAATGCTTAGGACCAATTGACTGGCAAGAATGTTCTCCAAAAATACAGAGGTTAATAAAATTTTCATGAGGCTAAAGATTTGTTATTACACCTTGTGTACAGACAGAAGAAGAGGCAAGGGCAGTTTGTGGTCAAGAATTCTGTGGACATATTTGTCAGTGTGGTGGTTTTTTTTTTTATTCTTAATACGCCTCTAAATATATGAGTTTAAATGAGTGAATTGTTTTTTTCTTTTTTAGTAACAATTTGATTCCTCTAACTGATAAACTGTTTCTTCTTACAGAGCTAAAATCGGCAATATTTGATGACTTCAAGAAAGAGGAAGAATGGAAGGTACAGTTTTGTTATTTTTGTAAAAATGTTGTTGTCCCTTGAACAAGAAATCTCTACCACTGAGTAGAGGACAAATAAAATAAATAAACTTAATGGCTGGTATTTTCACTTAAGATTGTTTTCTATCCAAATAATGGATTTCGGGTTTGGTAACTCTGAACACTGTATAATACATCTTGAAAAATCTAAAGCCTAGTATAGGGAGAACAAATGGTTAGTTGTCTCTTATTTTTTTTTTAGTTTTGAAAAAAATTAGAAACTGTTTTTGTTTATCTTTGCTTTTCAAAGGCTTGTAGTTTATTACTTTCATTAATTATACAGCACTCTGGTACTTGTGGATTCACCTGTTAGAACTGCTTAAGCTATAAAACAGTTTTAGAATAAGTACAGATATATTTAAGCAGGCCGTGGTGTAGATTAGCAGGAATTCAGAGGACTTGTGTCCAAGTTTCAAAGTATTTTTTAGTATGAGCAGGTACTTAGTTAAGATGGAGCTCATCTTTAGATATCCTGTATGTAGGGAGCTGCCTTCTAATTTTGCTTGAGACTAATTTCCTCCTGCAGTGTTGCTATAGGCAGTTAATGAGAAGGAATAGAGTAATGAAATAGCTTTCAGCTTCAAATTTCCATGGCAAGTTGAGGCAGTAACATGGGTTTGCTATAGCTGATTAACTTACCTAAATACTTGTGTGTTTTTTCAAAATATTTAGATAATGCTTTTAGATGATTACACTACTAAATTACTGTCACTGTGCTGCAAAATGACTGATCTGCTGGCAGAGGGTATCACAGGTAAGTGTGATTCTTATTGATGTACAGGTGGCAATATCCTGGTAAGAAAAAGGGAAGGAGTGAAATGGATGGTACCCTTCCAGTAAAATGTCTTTATTTGGTTGATGAAGACAAGTAGCTATGGGATATTAGACTAGTAGGCTTTCTGGCTTGTACAGTAATTACCCAATTGTGATTTATTATTTTTTTATGAATAAACAAATGTTTCTCTGCCTAGAAGTTCAGGTCCTTTTTTAAAATATTTTTTTCCCTAAAGATTGCTGTAAGGGTTGGTGTCTTTGTTTTTCATTGTTTTGTGCTTTTAAGATTTTTTTGTTTGGTTGGTGTAATGGGTTTGGTTTTTTTTGTTTTGGTTTGGGTTTTTTTGTATGTGATTTTTGTTTTGGGAGAGGGGAGTGGGTGTTTGTTTGCTAGTGTCTGTTTTTGAAATTGAAATAAATGCACAGAATGTAAGTGATCTAGTTTTTAATTAGCTTTAGGTCTAGATTTTCAGAAATGCATTTGTAAGAGGGCACTGTTTGGACTTGGTTATTTTTTCCACAAGTAGCAAGACTTCTCTTATTTCAGTTATTCAGTATAACATGATTATTCTGAAATTATAACAGCAAAACTGTATCAATTTCATTTTTTGGAGTGTATTTTAAATTACAAGAGGTACTACTTATCCTCTGTGAGAAACTGCCAGTGAGCATGAATCCTCTTCATCAAGAAAAACTTTTTATTTTCAGTGAGTACACTGCTGAAAAGAGCCTGTCTTTCAACATCCAGATGTCTGACATAACTTATCTTCCTCATTCCTCCTGCATAAAATTTCTGAGCCACAAGAATCCCTCTGCATTCTCAAGCCAGTGTACTGCAACACTATATAGTAATGACTTTAATAAACAAGAGTTGAGTGATTTGCTGAAGATTTGCTGAAAATATCTCATTAGTGACTGCAATTATATTGAAACAGAGTGAGTGCCCAGGAAAGAGGCAAACAAAGGACAGAAGAGGCTGTCCTCCAAAATGATGCCCTGCATAATTTTGCTCTCTCTTCAGTGTGCTGGAAGAAGAGCCATCCTGCCAAGGCAGTTCTCTTGCAAGACAGTTTGTACTGACCCCCATAATTTGAGCACGTTTGCCTTGCCATATCTTTCTGTGTGAGGGCAAAACTCACACACTACTGCTCGTGTAGAATACCCAGGAAAAATGTAGTCCTATGGCTTTAGTTGTCACTAGGCTGAGAGTTGAAGTTTTGTGGTAACTTGATGCATTTAAAATAACGAATTAAAAAATCAGGGCTCTCTTGGCAGAAGGTACATCCTTGCCTCTGATATTGTGGACAACTTGATTGCTGATACTTTATTAACTCTCTACTAAAATATGTGCAGTGCTTTCCTTAAAGATGCATAATGGTCTTAATTATAAAAATGTAATATTTTTTACTTTATAGTGGTGGAGAATGTATATAAAAACCGTGAGCCTGTCCCAC